AGAGAGAGAGAGAGAGAGAGAGAGAGAGAGAGAGAGAGAGGTCCATGGAGATGGTTTAAACGCGCCCAAGACGTGGGAGAGAGACTAGAGAGAGAAAGAGAGAGGGAGAGAGACTAGAGATAGAAAGAGAGAGGGAGAGAGAGAGAGACCCCAATCTAACTAACTACACGCCACCGCCCCCCTCCCTACGATTAAGTGTAGTATGTGATCCATGGTCCATCGAGATTGTTTACAAAAAAAAATAATAATAATAAGCAGCAGCGTGTGCACAAGATGCAGTTTCATATATGATCCGTGGTCCACAGAGAGAGAGAGAGAGAGAGAGAGAGAGAGAGAGAGAGAGAGAGAGAGAGAGAGAGAGATGACGGAAACGCAGGAGAGGGAGGGAGTAGACACGGGCTTGAGCGGGATGGTCCCGTACCCACAAGGTTTGGTGCTCCGCCTAGGACAGAGATGGAGATGGAGGAAGAAGGGGAGCGAGATGGCATAGCGCAGCTCCCACGCCAGACTCCAACGCACGTACTCCAAACTGTGCGAATGCATAATGGATCCGAAAACAGACAACAATTGGGGTATACCCCAGCGGACTGACGGGACTGGACTGGACTGGCTAGTACCGACAGAGGTACCGGCCTGGACTGGACTGCCCCGAATACAACACAAGTCTGTGAGAACAGGCCAAGGGGCTGGTCTCACAGGCCAACCAAAGATCCGCTACACGATCCTCGCCCTCTGATGGATCGCCTAGATACAAGCACGCTTCCGCCAAGAAGCCGAACTCTACCAAAGAAAAAGAAAACCTGAGTAGTCTAGGATGCGGAGCAAGCGCCATGCTGAGTCCATGCGATGCAACCTAGAATAGAAAATGTCACAAAAATAGCAATGTCACAACTAACAGCCTAAGTGAAAGCAAAAGCAACTAACTAGCATACATGTCCTAGGAAAGCAGAAAGTAATGACAACTAAACCCTAGAATGTTGGAGGCAGTGGCCTAAGTCTGGGAACAACTGACTAGTGTATAAGTCCTAAGAACAACACAAGCAAAATAACTAAATCGTAGAAATGTCAGAGGCGGTAGCCTCAGTCTGAGAGCAACAAAGCAACAACAAGACAACCATATGTCACAGGAGGAGTGTGTCGCAAACCAAAGGGTGGAATGGTCTCTGAGGGTGGCGAATGCAGCCTAGGGGTCGATAACTCCTAAGGGCATCCACACATAATGACAGGGGGAACACATGTCATCAGGCTCAATGAGGGTAGGGAACTGGGAGCGAACAGAACCAATGACCCTAACAGATAGACCATCAGGGCGGGTAATGCTCGACTAAAGGGGTGACCACTATGGAGGGTCGACCATGCAAGGGAACAAGGGAGCCTGGTATACTGGGCGCACCTAGATGAAGCATGTGAGGCTGCCTAACTAGGGCATGAGGGCCAGCAGAGGGTAGAAAAAGTGATGGGTAAGGGAATCATGTAAATGACTTCTAAGGTGGGGAAGTCGGAGCTGAATCCGTAAGTTGGGAAGCCAAGGCAACGCTACGGTCCCGATGCCTATGCGTATACCAAGGGAAAGCCCAACTCAGAGGAACCCGGTGAAGGGAGACCATTATGCGACACAACCAGGGTACTGTACAGGGTAAGGTGGTAAGAGGGTGGCGACGTCTGAAGGAGGCAGAGCTGATCGTGACGAAGTCCATGAAGCTGCCGATGACGTCCATGATGAGAAGTCCGGAATGTTGTCAAGGAAGAGCCGTAACGTCGACGAGCTGAAGTGGCAAAACTGGAGTGGATGGAGTACTGAGAAGTCAAAGACGTGGGAAGATAAGTCAGAGTCAATCGTCGTATCGAGCAGGACGACGACGAGTGCGCTGTGGACGCTCATAAGCATCCGGCTGCTGCTGAAGGTCTGCCTCAGAAGGGGCAGGCTCGACTTCAGCGATCTCCTCAGCCGAGGGAGAAGGAGGAGGGTCAGTGGGTTGAGGGGGAGCAGTCGACCCAGCACGGCGAGCACGGTCATAGGCACGCACCAACATGCGAGCATGCTGCAAGTGCTCGAGGGGCTTCCAGGTAGCCTCCTCATCAGGGTTACCCTTCCAACGTACGAGATACTCGACGTGAGGAGGATTGTCATTGGTGACTCGACGACCAATGATGTCTGAAACGAGGAACTCCTCGTGGCCGTCCACCATGATGGGTGGAGGGCGCTCGTATGGTCATCCAGCGAAACGCTCAGACGGTCTGCGGTAAGGACGCAGTAGCGAGACGTGGTAGACATCGTGCACACGAGCCTGGCGTAGGTAGTCGAGCAGCCTCACATGGAAGCTGACCGGGCTAGAAGCCGTATCAGAACCGACGGCCTGGAGGATGCGGCATGGGCCAAAGAAGCGACGCCGAAACTTGCGAAGCGTGTCCGCTTCGAGCTGTAAGTGGCGGGCGTCGATAAGCACATCATCACCGACTTTGAATGGATGAACCATCCTTGATCGGTTCGCACGTCCGGCCATGCGAGTCTGGGAAGCGGCTATGTGCTTATGTGCGGTCTTCGTGATCGACGTCATGTGTGCAACCCAATCATCCAGTGCGGGACAACTCGTGTCGGGGTGCATCTGTGACGGTCGAAGGAAGTTCGCGGGAACATGAGGGTGATAGCCGAGGTCGCAATAGTAAGCCGGCATCCCCGTGGCTGGCGGGACGGCGTGGTTGTAGGCTATCTCCGCGTGGGCAAGATGGAGATCCCACTGCTGGTCATCACGAACAATCTTTTAGAGAATATCTCCGAGAGTCTTGTTCGTGACCTCGGTCTGACCATCTGTTTGAGGATGGTAAGACGAGAAGAAGCGGAGCTGGGTGCCGTAAACCTCGTGGAGCCGTCGCCAGAATCGGCTGGGAAAGCGCGGGTCACGGTCAGATATGATGCTCAGAGGTAAGTCGTGGTCGCGCAGGACTCGGTCAAACACGATGTCGGCGACCTCATGTGCACTGATGTTATAGCGGCACGGAACAAAGTGTGCACGCTTCGTGAAGCGGTCGACGACGACCAGGATAACATCATGACAGCGGGGGGTCGGAGGAGAAAGAGGATCGATAAACTCCATCGAGATGGACTGCCAACAACCGTCAGGGATAGGAAGAGGCTGGAGCAAACCATAAGGAAGGTGGTTCGCACTGTTCACGTCCTTACAGGTGGGACACTCTGCGACGTAGTCCTTCACAGAGTCCTTGCGCTTCGGCCAAAAGTACAAGCGGCTCACACGAGCCAACGTCTTGTGGAAGCCCATATGACCGGCGGTTGCCTGATCATGGAACTCTGCTACTGCTCGGACACGTAGTTGTCCAGTGGAGGGAGCGCAAATACGGGGCTCTCTGGTGCCCTGTGAACCGTACCAGTACACAAGACCGTTGTCATCGAGAGTAGTTCGGGACGGTCTTGCCACTCCGAAGGGTCGCATGGATATCGCGATAGTCGGGGTAGCGGCGGTACTGAGTGTGAAACTCGTCGATCACCGAGTGGTGGACGGTGGTGACCGAGATGGAAGCGTGTTGGATCTGCTCCTGATCGTGGTTAAGCCTTCTGGATAAGGCATCTGCGACCCGATTAGTCTCACCCTTGATGTGCTCAGTGGTGAAACTAAACTCGGAAAGGTCGCGCCACCAACGAGCCTGTCGAGGAGTGAGCTTCGGTTTTGTCAGAAAGCCTGGGCAACAGAGTTGTCCGTGTGCACTGTGAACGGCGCCCCGTGCAGGTAGTGACGCCTGTGCCGAGCGACATAAACTACTGCGAGAACCTCACGTTCATGCGCAATGTAGTTTATCTCGGCGGGCAGGAGCTGACGGGAGTAGAAGGCTATCAGACAATCACCTGAGCAAGACTCGACAGTGCCGTCCTCGGCGATGGTAGGAGAATAGTCAATAGAAGGCTCGTCAGTAGCTGGGTGAGTAGGCGTCAGGCGGGAAGCAGTGGTAGAGTTAGGGGGTGGCAGGCGAGGGATATGAGGATGAGAGGAATCAGGAGAGGAAGGGAAAATCTGAGAAAGCACTGCTCCTATAGCAAAGTATGACGCATTGGTGGTAAGGATAAAAGGGCGATTAAAATCGGGTTGGTGAAGAACCAGTACGCATGTCACCGCCTTCTTGAGGGCGCGGAAGGCGTCCTTGTGGAGGGGTGTCCAAGCCCAGGGCGGGTTCTTTCGGAGGAGGGAGCGTATCCTTGGATGAAATTACTATAGTAGTTGGTAAGGCCTAGGAAGTTGCGAAGCTGCTTGGCGGATGTGGGGATGGGTCACTCCGCAATAGCAGTGATCTTCACATCGTCCATGTAGAGACCCTGGTTAGACACGTAGTGTCCTAAGATATCCACTTTATGCTGGGCAAAGCGGCACTTGCTCAGCTTGGCGTAGAAGCCATGTCTACGCAAGCGGTCAAGGACGTTGCGGAGGTGTCTGAGATGCTCCTCAAGGGTACGACTGTAGATCAGGATATCGTTGAGGTAGACGAGAAAATACTGCTCCAGGATGTCCTTGAAGATGTCGTTCATCGCCTTTTGGAAGGTTGCGGGTGCGTTGGTGAGGCCGAATGGCATCACCGTAAACTCGTGGTGGCCGAAGAGCGATCGGAACGCCGTCTTCGACTGGTCCGCTGCAGCGACGCGGATTTGAAGGTAACGGCTACGAAAATCAATCTTCGTAAAGAAGCGGTTGCCTGTTAGGCGGTCAAACAGCTCGTCGGAACGAGGCATGGGGTAGTTGTTCTTAACCGTGTAGCGGTTGAGACCACGATAGTCGATCCAGAGACGGAGAGTTCCATCCGCTTTGCGAGCAAAGAGGACGAGTGCACCCTACGAGGAGTTGCTGGGTTTAATGAAACCCAGTCTCAGGAGCTCCTTAAGTTGACGCTCGAGTTCAGTGGCCTCGGGGATCAAGAGTCTGTAGGGTGCCTGGTGGTGAACACGATAGTCAAGCACAAGCTGGATGGAGTGCTCGACGTCACGCATCGGTGGAATGCCGGCGTACGAGAACGACAATGGGAAAACGTCGTGGTACTCTCGAACGAGGTCACGACTCCAGGTCAGCCGTAGATCGTGCGAGTTCCTAAGCGTCAGCGTCAGTGCGCGATGGCGGGGTGGACTCGACGGACGGCAGAGGGTGGGAAGTAGAGATGGTAGCCATGGAGATAGAAGGAGGATCTGGCTCCAGAGGGATGAGCTCGGCGTCCGCACAGGGTGGATCATAGTGTAAGAGATCCGTAACGTTCACCATAAAGAAGGTCACGTCGTCCTGTCGGATGAAGTGAGAAAACTGTCGAGGCGAGGTGACAGTGATCGTAGGAGATTGTGTGGGCACGGAAGGCTCCGGGGGAGGAGGATCGGGGTGTGGTGTCGCAGTGGTACCTATGAAAGGTACGCGATACGTTTGTCCACACTTCGTTTTGAGAATGAGAGTGTTGGTCGCCCAATCGGCCTCGGTGCTGCGGAACCGATGAGACCACGGAGTGCCGAGAATGAAGTCGTACCCCATCTCCATCACATCGAAATGTGCAGAGGAGCGGTGGCGACGAGACGCCGGGGGACGATCAGTCGGCTCAAGAGTGAGGAAGAAAGGAAGGTCGGTGACCGTCTTATCGAAGAAGCACTGGGTCTTGTCATCCCCTAGGGTGACAGAGATGGGAGTCGGAGACCCTGTCGTGGGTAAGCGGGCTTCCTTCACCACACGTGGGTGAATGAAGTCGCCCTGAGAACCGAAATCCCACAGAGCTGAGTACACCCTCGTGGAGGTCCCCAATCATACTGGAATGATCGGGAGGGTGCGATCAAGGTCAGAGAGAATGGTGAGAAGGCGACGCAGTGCAGCTACATGGAGGGTGAGTCGCTCCTGACGAGCCTGGAGCATGCTCAAGTCCAAAAGAGAGGATACAACGTCCTCACGAGTCGCAAGCTGCTCGCTGCAACGGGCTGAGTGAATGGCTCGACGGGTCGGTAGTCTCGGCGGGGTAGGAGGGGAGATGGTGGTATGTGGAGGCGCAGACGGTACTGCAACAGAGGGCTGAGTACACTATGTCGGGTCCTGCAAGACCTTAACTCCAGTAGCGAGAGGGGCAAACCGGGACGGGGATGTCGGAAAGCCGACTCCTGAGGAGGGCGCAGGTGTACACTGCACCGTGGCTAGGAGGCGCCACAGGGATGCGAGGCGCCAGGGGGAAACTGAGCACGACGCTGGCGGGAAAAGTCGGCGTAGTGGAGGTCAAGGGCGGCAGTGTAAGGGCACCGTGAGGAGGTATGACCGTCTTGGCGGCGGCGCAAGCACCCACGCCGGCCCAAAATAGCCGCGCCCTCCTCAGCGGAAAAGACACCGTGAGGAGGGACAAAGCCCTGAGGGAGGTCCTGCTGAGGGACCTCTAGGGGCGATGTGCCAGCGTGACCGGGGCGGCTGCGTGCCCGGGAGATGGCGGAGAGGATGAGCTGGAGGCGCTCGGCTATAGGGAGAGTAGAGTCCTCCAGGTGGTAGTGGACGGCCTCGCCGAGGTCGAGGTTGTCGCTATGGTCACCCTTTGGTGACAGCGGGGCAACAGCGTCCTGCTCATCATACTCAAGCGCGCTGAAGCGGCGCGAGAAGTGGCGGCCCGAATGCGCGGAACGGCGGAGGCGACCGCGGAAAGGGGAAAGGCGCTGGGAAGTACCGTGAGAGGAGGAGGGGGCGGAACCAGTACGCTGAGGCTGGGAGGAGGAAGTGTGTTGAAGACGGGCCCGCATCCGCTGATGGTCCCTAGCGGCCTCGTAAGCCTGCGGGGCCGATGTGAACTCGTACCGCCATAACTCGGAACGGTACTCGAGCGGAAGGCTGGCCAAGAGACGATCAATAAGGGCAGCCTCGGGACGGAACGCCACATCACAAATGAGGCGAGCGTCCTGAAAGACCTGGATGTGGCGATCCAGGCCGGCAGCGCCACCAGAGCCGGACCAGCGCGTAGTGACGACACGCTCGAAGGCGTCAGTCACGTCATGTCGGGCTCCGAAGCGATCCTCGAGGAACGTCTGGAAATCTATGGAGGTCAAAGTCCGACCCGCACGGGAGTAAGCGTAAAAATCCTCCGAGGCATCAAAAGGACCGCCACGCAGGCGCGTGGAGAGGTGAGTCACCCACGTGTCGGGTGGGGCGCCCATGAGCTGGAGTGTGCGGGTGGTAGACAGTAGCCACCGAGACACGCGTATGCCTGTACCGTCATAGAAGGCAATGTCCGTCAAGCGGACGAGTGGTGCGCCACCGTTTTGGCGGTGAGGAGAGCGGGGAGCAGAGGCCTGCGCTAGGGCCGAGTAAGTCGGCGCAGGTCCTGGAGAAGCGGGTGCAGTTGACTGTCCGCCCGGGCCGCATGGTGGAGCGGCGGGGGGAACAGCGGCAGGCTGTGAGGGACCTGCGGTAGAAGAGGTCGCAGTTGCCGAGGGAGTAGGAAGGGGGTAGGATGGGGGTGGAGGGGGTGCAGGGCGGGGGAACGAGCCGACAAGAATGGAAGAGTAGAGGAAGAACGGGGTGCGCCCGAAGGGGCGGCCACCTGTGAGCGTGGGGGCAGTTGAAGGCGTAAAAGGGCTAGGTCGGCCCGCGTCTGGGCAAGCTCGGCCGAGACAGTGAACGTAGATTGAGCGAGGAATGGCAGGAGGAAGAGTGGGGGAAGTGGACGCATGAGCGGCGCGGGGCATCCCATAGGGGGGAGAGCCAGGTGGCGCTGCGGTCGTGCGAAGGGGAGGGAGAAGTGGGGCACCCGGAAAAGCTGAGACCCCAGCAGCGGGTTGTGGTCCTGCAGCCGTAGTGACCGGAACCTAGCCGGGTGCGCCCGTAAGGTGAGGGAGGGTTTGGCCCATGGCGGCCGTCGTGGTAGGAGCGTGGACGGTCACCAGGATGGCCGGGTCAGGGGCGGCAGAGGAGGAAGCTCCGACGTGGCCACCATGTCGGAGGACGTAGGACCTGGACTGGTAGCTAGGGGAAGAGAGAGAGTGGGGAGAGGAGGAGGACCAGCGTCTTGGAGTTGCGGCAGGCCAGCGGCAAGAGTCGCCATTTGCGCCTGTAAGAGCGCAAGGAGGGAGGTGATGAGGGTGTGCAGATCCCCCTGGGGCTGGTGGCCCTGGTCCGTCGGCACGGGTGTGGAGCCGGATGCCGAGGTCGTCGCCGCCTCGGCGGCTTGTGACACGTCGTTGGCCATGGGGAGGTAACGGGCCGGACTAGGGAGGGCCAGAGGAGGTCCGCGTGAGCGGAGGGCGTAGGGGGAGGTCTGTGATAGAAAGCGACGGGCGGCGCTAGTAAATCGAGCGTGGGCGTCGTCAAAAAGGGAGGGGTGGTTCTGATCCAGGGTGGCCGAATGAGAAGGGAAAGTAGGGGGTTTAGGAAAACCCTAAACCCTAGAAAACCCCTAAGAAAACCCTAACCTGAGTTTGAGTGGTTAGGGTAGGGTACCGGTGACCTAATCAAGAAAATAAAATAGTAAGCATAGGGGGGTAAGGCGGGAGAAAAATAAATAAACAGCGAAATTTCGAGAGAAAAATAAAAATAAATAAGGAAATAAACTAGGCTACCAGAGTGGCCCTGGGTCACTTGCCCGGCCGGGCCAAAATAATTAAAAAAAATAAAAATAAATTAATTTTGAATTTTATTTTTTATTTTAAATTTGGTGCAGAATTTTAATGTGACCCTGAGGCAAAAGTTGTTCAGTTTATTTTTCTACATAACATAGTTTTTTTTTCAGAGTTTTTGGATTTTGTTTCTTTTTTTTTTCTTTGCTGGGACATTACCTGATCCTTGCAGGGGCTGGCCACCCGGGACTCGGGCGGCCCGGCAAGTAGCCTAGGAAATAAATAAATAACAAAAATAATTTTAAAAATAAGGAAACAAAATATGAAGAGAAATAATATTTATTTTCTTAGAATTTTCGGCAGCATTTCCCTACCGCCCATGGGGTCAAGAATGTGCCAAGGGGAAAGGAGAGACAAAGATAAGCACACTAGGTTTCAAAATTTCCAAAAATAAATACAGAAATAATAATAAATAAATAAATAAATAAATAAATAAATAAATAAATAAATAAATAAATAAATAAATAAATAAATAAGTGAATAAGTGGATGAGGAGGTGGAGAGAAATGAAGTATCTGATTTTTCAAAAATTTCGACAGCATTTCGTTACCCCCATTGGGTCGAAGTGTGCCGAGAAAGATTAAGTGAAAGAAAAACAGAAAATTGCGGTAGCCCTTCGTTACCCCCACGGGGTCAAAATGTGTGCCGAAAGCAAGAAAAACCAACTCCTAGTCAGATTTAAGGGTGCCGCAAAGAAATTCGAATTTTTACTAGGCTACCAGAGTGGCCCGGGGTCACTTGCCCGGCCGGGCCAAAAAAAAATAAAAATAATAAAAATAATAAATTTATTTTTACATTTTATTTTTATTCTAAATTTGGTGAAGAATGAGGATGTGACCCTGAGGCAAAAGTTGTTCACTTTATTTTTCTGCATAACATCGTTTTTTTTTCGGATGTTTTGCGTTTTTTTTTTTTTTTTTTTTTTTNGCTGGGACCTTCTCTTGTCCTTGCACGGCCTGGCCACCCGGGACCCGGGCAGCCCGGCTGGTAGCCTAGAATTTTTAGAATTAAAAAAAAAAAAATCAAAAAATGAGAAGGGAGGGGGGGAAATAAGATCATTCGAATTTTTGGAGAAAAGAGAAGATTGAAATCAAAGAGAAAGGGAAAAGAAGAAAAACAGAAAAATTCGAAGTAGGGGGGGGGCAAGGGGATGAAAGAGTGATGAAGAAGAGAGAAATAGGTGAGAGAGAGAGGAGTGAAGTGGGAGATGGGGGAGATGAGATTAGTAGAAGATGGTGGGTGGGGAGGAGAGGAGAGAAAAAGGTGGTGGGGGATGAGGGAAGAGGGAGTTGGGAGGAGGTGCGGTAATGGTAGAGTAAGAAAGGATGATTAGATGATGGGGGGGGAGAGAAAAGGGGTTGGGGGAGGGTAGGTTAGTAGAGAGAGATAATACCGGGCTCTTGGTTGGCCAAGAGCAAAGCACTACCAAGATCCACAGGATCTTGACCTTCAAGGTGTTGCTGGCCTGATGCCACAACAATAACAGGATGATGATGATGATCTAGGGTTGACTGAGATCTTGATCAGCCACCCAACTGCCACAGTCACACAGCCCCCTAGCCAGGGGGGGAAGCTTGAGCTGCTGCACAACTGTTGCTACAGCAGTAGAAAAATAGTACAAAAAAATAATGTGGCGCAGCCCCCTAGCCAAGGGGGTTTTCAGTCTTCAGAGAAGACTGCCACGTGGCACTGCAGATGGCCACGTGCAAAGGAAGCAGCAGCCACGAGGGGGGGGGGGGGGGGGGGGGGGGGGGGGGGGGTAAATAGCTGGCACGCACCTCTTCAACAGCAACGTGCCACACTGCAAAGCCATACATACAGTATGGCGAGTGTGTTACTGGAGCAGCCACGCACGAGCAAGGGCAGTGGCTGCCTGGGTTCAAACCCCAACGGCAGCAAGGTCCCGAATCTTGATAATATAAATCCGGGAGCGGGGCGGGGCGGGGCAGCGGGGCACATGGCGCATGCGTGTGCGTGGGCGTGTGCGTGTGCGGCGGCCTTGGCGCTTGCGCGCACGCATCGTGACGTTTTGCCACGTTGTCGGGCGGCCGAAGGTCAGTCGACCACCCGAAAACTGACGGATTAACCCTTAGATTAACTGCCTAAAGAGGGATTGACCGGGACTTCCGTGCGAACCGTCGGGATAAATTAGGGGTCGGAGAGAGACCCCTAATATTCTCCATGTCAAGTATTAACATTGACCCTTGAAAACAACGAAAGGAGTGGCCACGCCTGCCGCGCCTGGCGCCTATCATTTTCGTCCGTTCCGAGGCTGTTCCTGAAGCGGCCGGCCGCGGTACGGAGATGCGGTGACAAGCCTTGGTGCAACTCCTTTGCATCGTACGATTCAAGGGGAAATGACTCCTCGAATCTTATTAATTTTAATATCAAAATTGAAATTGGGAAAAAGAATTGAAGATAATAGGAGGGATGGGAATAATGGGATAATTGCTATTTATTTAAATTTTATCGGAATTCCTTCTTAAGGAAATTATCCACTATTTTCCTAGGCTACCAGAGTGGCCCGGGGTCACTTGCTCGGCCGGGCCAAAAAAAATAAAAAAGATTAAAAAAATAATAATATTTTTTAACTTTTATTTTTATTTTAAAATTGGTAGAGAATTTCGATGTGACCCTGAGGCAGAAGTTGTTCAGTTTATTTTTCTGCATAACATAATTTTTTTTCGGTTTTTTTTTTTTTTTTTTTTTTTTTTTTTTTTTTTTTTTTTTTTTTTTTTTTGTTGGGTGTCCTTGCGCGGGCTGGCCACCCGGGACCCGGGCGGCCCGGCTGGTAGCCTAGCTATTTTCATTATTTCCAATGATGAAATTAAAAATGAGAAAAATAATAAAAAATAATAAGAGAAAAGAAAACCAATGATTATTTATCATTTGATTAAATTTAATTAAAGTTAGTGCCGATGGATTTTTTTTTATTATTTGAATAAATTTTATTAAAATCATTCGCGATAGATTTTTGCGCATAATTATTTACTTACCCTGAGTCTGGCGATTCTTTCGATTTCCCGATAATTGTGAACCCTCGCAGGATTTATTTGATTTACTTGATTTTCTTGATTCCTAGTCTCGCCGTGATCTGGGTGTTTTCAGTGAGTGAAGTCACATGGTCGGTGTGGTGTTGCCGCGGGTGCTACCTTGGTGCTATCGCGGCATTGCCGCATTGTACGGTATTCGGCATGGGCCAGGTACGGTATGGATCACAACAACTTCGAAGGATTATTTCAGGTACGACATTGGCTTTCACGACCGGCGAGCTCTTCTTGATATGATCTGAGACTTGCCACGTTGGGTCTGGGAGCAGTACGATTCAGTCTCGGTCCTGGTATTTCGGTGCGGCAACTGGTCCGGTGCTGGCACGACGCTTCATTATATGGTGTCTGGTATTGACCTGAAACAGTTACTGGATAGGAGAAACTACGGGGCGGTTTGACACTGGTATCTCACTACAAGGCACGACATTGGTACAATTGACTAAGTTGGCACAACCTTTGGTTAACTCTGACATTGTCGCTGCTCACCAGGTTTGGCGGTGCCAGTCCTGCTGTGACTTGGTACACTGGTTCGGGATTCAGGCACGACAGTCAGGCCTGCCTGGAACAGTTGGCAGTGCCTTTCTTGGCCAGACATTTGGCCGGGTACTCGTTGTGGAACAGTAGGCACCATACGTGGATACTAGGACAGGCCCAGCAGCACTTATGGGGCCTTGAAACCGTTGGTACCTCTAGTACCAGTACCCTTTTTGCGTGAACTTTCAGCGGGTCTGCAGGTGGCCCAGCAGCAGCAGACTGGTCGAGGCAAAGAGGAGCAGTGAAAACTTGATATAGCCAAGGCGAGCGGGGGAAGTGGGGAGAGTATGCAAGGTGTAACCCGCATCACAACTCTATGCAGGTTGGGTCAACGAACCACGGCAGGAGCCGGGAAGAGGCGCGCAGGTGCGATTGCTCTTCTAGAGGTTGCTTGGCGTGTACCCGTTACTGGAGTCTGGGCGCGCAGGAAGACGAGCAGAGTGAGATGGGGAACGAGCTAAGCGTGTTCGTCAAGCTGCGGGCAATTTGAAGCATGCTCGGTCGTTCTTGCAGGCTGCGCGGTTGAAGCTGGGACACAACGAGCTTGGAAAGAACGCCCGATTGACACAGGCGCGGGCCATCTGGACTCAAGCATGATTGATGAGGGGCTGAAGCGTAGCCAGCCAAGCGCTCACTCTGGATATGGGGTCCACCCATAGGCGGAGCCGGGGGAAGGACGAAAGGCTTGACTTCATGTGCGAGGCGTACTCTGCCCCTCGTTCTGTCTGTTAGCATCTAGAGAGCGTCGCGCGTGATGCTGAGCTAGTGGAGGAACATCGCTACAAGCTAGAGAAAACCACACTAGTGAGGCGAAAGGAGGAGAACGAGGGAAGAGAACTGCAAGAGAGAGAGAGGAGGCATCCGGGAATCGGGCGCCATCAGACAAGTGAACCCTCGACAAAGAAAAGCAAGCTGACAGTCTTCCCGAGAGCCCGGTGACGATTCGTTTTCCCAAAAACCCTTATAGTCCAACTCGCAGAGAACAAGGTATGGCCAAACTCTCTCCGTTCTGGCTGAAACTTCTTTCTTTGTCTTAATGTGCATCGGACAATAGAGTGGAAGGGGACAAAATAGGAGCATGAGAAAATGGGGAACTCTCGAAAGTGAGTTCGGGGGGAACAGAAGTGACAACAACTGTCTGCGCTCATTCGGACACGTACCGAATCCTGTGCTTCCGAATTAAACCAATGCGAAACATCGTATGTGAAGTGCGTTTTCGATATGAGCAAGAATGAGGACGTGTAAGGCGGCGAAAGAGCGAGTGAGGGGTGCCTGTGTGAGAGAGAGGAAGAGAGACACAGAGGGAGAGAGAGTTTGTATGAGTGAGCAGAAGGGCAAATCTGAGAGATCGAGCTGGGGAAATAAGGTACGAGAGCGGATGCACCTATGAGAAAGGGAGAGCGAGCGAAGCAGTGTGTGCGAGAACAGGAACAAGTCTACGGCCGGGCAAATGAAATTTATTTATCTAGTCCTTAAAGCGACCAGGTACACTCAAAGTGGGACCGTGATGTTCTACATGTGAAGTGGGATCCGGGCACTCCAGACAGGGTGTTGGGAGTGTGAGAAAGAGAGCGCTGCGTCTACCTCTAGATTCATGCGACCGACACCCCTAGCGACCAAACACGCTCGCTCAAGATGATGGTAGTGTGAACTGGATTACAAAGGGAAATAAAGGGAATCTAGTGAGTCTACTCAGATGAAACGGGATCATTAACCGTGCTCAGCCCAAGGCCGAACGATCGCAACAGATGAAAGGGGACGGGAGACTGCTTGCGCGCTGGGCCCTGAGAGCCAGCGGGTAGACGATTGCGCCCCTTTTGTTTTTCTCTTCGCCTAGAGAGCCTCAAAGACGGCGGACTGACTGTTGGAATTGCTTCTTGAATAAAGTTCAGATTCCATTCATGGCCTAACTAAGGGGCTTTACACGGTGAAGGTTGACGCTTCCAGGAGGCCTTGTAATCATCATCCTGCAGTTTCAATTCCAAAGAAATCAGACAAGTGAAAGCCTCTGTAAAAAATCAACCTTCGATCGGAACAGTCACTACGTCCGCGTGAGAATTTTTGACGACCTTCACTCAAAGTCTTTTTCTCCAAACTCAAAGCTATACACAGTACCAGAAACGGGATGAGGGAAGAACCCTCGTCAGGAAAATATATACATCCAGTTGCTGTGCATGACCAGGGAGCAATGCGCTGATGCGTACGTCTCCAACAGGACTTTGGAGTGCACGATGGTAGACAAAAGGGGTTAGAAGGTAGTAGTCTAACCAACATTGGGGTGGTTGTAGTACAATCATACCCTTAGTTGCTTGAGAAAAGTTTTTGTTATTGTTTAAATTATTATTTTATTTATTTATATATTCGTTACTCTGTTGCGGGTTTTAAATCGCATCAAGTGGTGTTGTGACAGAATTACCCTGTCGTTCCCCTAGTCAAGGGGGACTGTGCTTTGTAGTTTTATCTAGGGACAAAGGGTGGGAAATCCAGGTTTCCAGGTTGCTCAAACGGTTTGATGGTCATTGTTGGCAAGTTCACGTGTAATCTACCAGTTTCCAAGTCAGGTTGAAGCCTGTTCTCTACGAGCGAACTGTGTCGCCGGTCATTCCAAACAAGGGAGAATAGTCATTGAGAAGGGGGGGAGACCTGTGGACCATTATGACCCCTACCCTCAAATCTGTGGATCTGATCGTGTTAGCTTGATTTGATTCTCTGTCACCTCACTTTTGAATGTTTAACAAATAAAAGTTAAGTGCAACTTTGAGTGGCGGTGTGACAGGTAGGGGCCAAACCCCAACTCCCTACTGGTCGTTGAGGACCTCTGAAGCGGGCGCAACGAGTGACAGGCGCTGTTGCCTCTGGCTTCAGCGAACGGTAGGAACCCCTGCCCGGGTTTCCTCACAAACTTTGGCGTCGTTGCCGGGGAAGGGGATTGCACCTCCAAGGCCGCGACCTTCCCCTATCCAACGGGGGTGCACAGGTTGATTAGCCAAGGGCTGATTAACTTGATTGATTGGTTTTACTCTATTAGTTTTTATTTTTGATAATTTTTTATTTAGTTTTTTTTAAATATCTCCCAATCTGCTTGTTTTGCGCGAATTGCGCTCGGGTCAAAGTTCGTCCTCCCGATGAGGCAAACATTTTGAGACCCTTTTCAGAAAATTCTGACGGCTAGATTTTCATAAATTTAATTTTCTTTATTTTTGTTTTAATTAATTCAAAATCTTTCGTTTTTTTTTTATTATTACGAAAAATAGGGGCGGAATCTGAAGAATACCCCTTGGATCAAAGTTGTCTAGTTTATTTTCCCCGACGTTTTGAAATCTTGGTCGGTGGAAACGAACTTCGTTTGAGTCAACGGCGGACTCCAACAGGGAGGGAAAGAAGAATTAGAGGAAAATTGCAATTTCTTTGCAATTTTGTATAAATTAAAAGAGGAAAATTTAAGAAAAAGTAATCCTCAGTTTTTTCTTTGAACGTAGTAGAATCAAATTAAAATTTTCACACAATCAGTCGGGGGTTTGCGGTGTGCGTGCGGTTGCGCGCAAAACCCAAAACCCTAATTCGTGAAAACCCTAATTAGGGTAAAACCCTAATATAAACTTAGAAAGAATCGGGGAAATAGAGTGAAGATATAACTTCTGCTTTCCGTTTTGTTGCGGACAATTTTGTGTAAATTTATCCGGAAAAAAAAAAAAAAAAAATTCCAAAAATTTTGTAACATTAAACAATTAAAAATTAAAAAAATATTATAAATCTATGAAAACTCAAGTACCTAAGATTTTGACTTCTTTTATTTTTCTCTTTTTTAATCTAGGGATATTCTCCCGAACCTCATCCCAACGGGGGGAGAAAAATCGCTACGAAAATTTTTATAAATTATTTTAATTCAAATTTTGTTGTTTGAAATGAGAAAAAGTTGAAGTAAATATATAAAATTTAGTAAGACCACTGTTTCCTCATTTTATTTGTTTTTGCTCATTCGAGGGACTCTCTCACGAACCCCATCCCAACGGGGGGAGGGGAATTGCTTCCGAAATTTTGTGAAATTTTTATTTTAATTTGGTTTTTCTTAGTTAATTAATAAGAAAAATCAGTTCTCACCCCTAGAAACCCATTTGGCAAGCATATATATATATATAGAGTCTTAATACAACTAAATTAAGAAAGAGAGTTTTTCCTAACGAAATCCTTTTTTTTTATTTATATTCAAAAAATACAAGAAAATCCCCTAGAGGACGAAGTGCGAAACCAGCCGCAGTGATCTGTATTCAGGTGGACCTATTGGTCTATTCACGGAGGCTGAGGCAAGTGAGGGGAATTTTCAGTAATTAAAATTATTTATTTCGTAATTATTTTAAAAAAAATAAAAATAAATAAAAAACGAGAGTTGAAAAGAAGAACAAACCTACCTCGCTACTCGCTAGGGGTTATCTCACTTTTTCCTGTGCGTTGAATTCGGGGCAGTGAATTCTTCATGGGCACAAGTAATTTATGCGGAATTAAAACAATATAAATTCCCTAAAAATAAGAAAATGGTTAAGGAATTTGGGAAGGAAGCATATGTGACTCTTGTTTATGGTTTTGGAGTAGGTCGCAGCGTCGGTTGACCTAACGGATGTTCGAAGGCGCTGTAGGCGGGATCCCCTCGAATTGTGCACGCATCTTATATTCGAGGGAACTTTAGTATAACGCTTGTTAGCCCAATTCGAGGTTGCGATTCCGCGTCTCGAGTATCTAGACGACTCTAGGGCATGTCTAAGACTTAGGTAGGCAGCGCTTATTCAGGGAGGACCTCCCGCACCCCATCCCAACGGAGGGAAGCGAAGCGCTGCCGAATTTTTCCTACGATTTGGGACTGTAGGTGGGATCCCCTCGAATTGTGCACGCGCCTTATATTCGAGGGAACTTGAGTATAACGCTTATTAGCCCAATTCGAGTTTGAGATTCCGCGCCTCGACTATCTAGACGACTCTGAGGCATGTCTAAGACTTAGGTAGGCAGCGCTTATTCAGGGAGGACCTCCCGCACCCCATCCCAACGGAGGGAGGCGAAGCGTTGCCGAATTTTTCCTACGATTTGGGACTCCTTTTCACTTCTTGTTTCTTCCTCCGACCCTTTTATTCTTCCTTTACGTTGTAGTACATTTATTCCGTCTTCACGCCACCGTCTCTGACTTCTGTAGTGTCGATTGGATGTGGTGGCTCGAGGACGTGGAGGTGTATGAGGTTGATCGTGCATGGGAAGTAGAACCCCCCGAGCTTATAGAGGGGGACTTAGTGGAGTTCACGCTCCCCTCGCGACCCACTCGCTGACACGACGGCCAGTTCCGGTGGAGGTCTGTCCTCTTGTCCTCCGGTGCTTGGCTG